CTGCTCCCGCCGCTCTTCGTCCTCGATCTCGTAATCACGCGGTTCATACTCGCTGTCATCATCTAGCATCTTGGTCATGGGCTCCGGGCTGGGAGATGTCGCAGAGGTGGCGCTGCTCTTGCGCGTGCGAGAGGATTTGGACGACGAGGAAGAGGGGGAAGACGAGGAACTGGCAGTTTTTTTGGGTTTGGGTGGAACGGCCTTCTGCTTCGGTTTCGGTTTCGGTTTTGCGGGTATTGCCTGCGGACTTTCCGAGGAAGGCAGACCACGTCCGCTCGGCTTCGAGACCCTAGAAGAGGCGCGGCGGGTAGACATTGTGCAAGCGACGGTGAGAGACGAGGAAGCGAGAATGAAGCGAGCAAGGTTCGCACGTATGTAACGCGCGGTTGATGCGGCGCCGAAACAGCCGATCTTCTACTGAACCGTTTTCACTGATTCCAGTGCCCCGTAGGGTACTTTAGCCTATGAAAACACGGTTTGTACCATCAAAAATGTCGGAAAAGCATTCAGAGGCACGAAAACGAGCTCAGAGCACGAGAACTCCAAAAATGTTTTGAAATGTTTTGAAATCACGCGACTGTCATCAATTTTGCAAACAGCTGTAATCACACTCATCAGGATCCCGACCAGCCAATAATGCGGCCTGGAGCGAAGCGGTCCCCACCCATGATCAATTGCCAGGGTCATGCGAATACATGTCAATGGCGTTGCCGAGTGATGCATGGCTTGCGCCTTCGTGTTTATACTGACCTCTCGTTGTCTAATTGCGATCGGCTATTATACGTCATTATACATGTCAAGTCAAGGGGTCGCAAAAAAAAATCTGAATGTAGAACGTTGAATGATAACGTTAATGTAACATTAAATCTCCATATCTACGGTACTGCAGATGACTCACGAACCGTAGCAACACATTGCCAATACTTGACTGCGTGGGCCTTGTTCGGTTCAAGGCTGGGTCTTGATTTGACTGTGTCGGCATTTTTGTCCGTTTGCAGTGTTGAGCTTGGGAAGAAGGCATTGGTACCGTTCCACTTTCCATTCTAACCGTTCTCATTGGAATGCCAAGTAAGCCGATACTAAGGCCTAGAGTGGAGCGGTACGCTGGGGCGCGCTGCGCTGGGATGGGCATAGCCTTCAATTCGATAGAGTCGATGAAAATCTGACATTTCGATTCTAAATGAGCTGGAAAGAAGGCCCAGAGCGGAGTGGTCCGCACCCACGAACTATAGGGCAAATTGGATTTGCCCATTAAGTAAGGGCCTGTTCGGATACACGGCCAAACGGAAATATTGTGAATTCTTAACAATTGTTGATCTAGAATTCTGTACGCCCAGATCCTTAGAGTTTTCTTAGATTTTGATCTCGGCAACGGCGATATCAGCTCTCAACCTCAACCGCTGTCGCTGAGCTTTAAACGGTGTCCAGAATGCTGTAAAGGTCCGTGCACGCACAACGTAAAGACCACGTGAATGTTGGTCGCTCTTGTCGCTTGCTTGCGTCTTCCCGCTTTCATCTCCTTTTCCCTTCACCAGCTACTCCACATAAACCTGTGCCCCAACTAATCACCCTGTTTTAATGGCCCTGAACCATGCCCGCACAAGAGTCTATTTGTCGTGTCCCGCTTGGGAGCGATATCTCTCAAGCCCTCAATTTTCTTTACTTCTGGGGTCTTGCAGCGGTTGTACCAATTTGGCGTGCTCAAGATAGACCAAGACTGTAGCCTTAAGAGTAGATGGTTCGCAATCCAAGTGTCAAGATTCAAGAGCATGAAGGCCTCAAGATGGCGCCCGCACTCCCTGTGTCAAAATTTCTCGCAAGTCTAGACACAAGACCAAGAAGGCAAATAAATGCAAACTCCAAAACTTCAGGCTTCAAAGAAATTCGTCTCATTTCCTCCAGTCTTGCAGCCTCCTCCTTGCTTGTTGTCATTTGACGTTCTTGGGTATATCACATCCATATTCCAGTCACCTATCTTAGCTGCTCTGTGAATTAATATATATTTATCTTTCTCTTCCTTCGTGTGAGCTGCAGCCTATGAATAGGAACCGTGTGCGGCCAGCATTTCTGCTTGCAGTGGCGGCCATGCGTCTCGAAGGGGCAGATCAATCCATCAATCCTAACGAAAACTTATGCCATTTCAAAGGGGATAAGGGTCGGAGTTTGAGTTTTTGTTAAGGATTTCACTGTGAATCATTCACAGCAGGGATTCCTCAATTAAGTGGGTATTTAAGTTAGCTACACTTCTTCAAGTATTGTAAAACAAATAATTTGACCTGAAACTGGTAATTAAAATGCCCTCTAAATCCATTAGCAACCAATGAGAGTACAAGTTATGGATTTAAACATCATTTTAATTACCCATTTCGGGCCAAATTATTTGTTTTACAATACTTAAAGAAGTGTAGCTAACTTAAATGTCCACTAAATTGAGGAACTGGCACTGTGATTAACATCAGGAATTGTCAGTGCTGCACTAAGCCATCAGTGCAGCCGTGTACTAGATTCCGTTTCCTTTCCTGTTTCCAATTCCCTTATAAGGTACTACCAAGGCACTGCCGAAATGTCACAGACAAATGTTCCGGATGCCGCAAAAGGCTGTCGACGAGCTACAATGCCTCAATGTTGCCAACAGCGGCGGCGAGAGCCTTGCTGCGTTGAATCAACCAGATCTTTCAGTTATTCTTGGTCATGGCAGTAACCCGAGGGTTATTTTCTATTTCAGTAGCAAAAATGTGCAATTTCAGGCCAAAAACGTTGGGCGGCGGGACCCCGACTGTCATGACTACTTTTCGGGACAGAGACGGCGGTTTGAGTGGCGTCACATTGATGTGCGGTGGATCACGTTTCAGAGTGGAATATTCTCACGACCACTATAAAAGGGAATTGGAAACAGGAAACGGAATCTGGTATCCGAACAGGCCCTAAATATGTGGGATCCTTTGTTCGACTCAAGGCTGGATCTTAGGCCTCGCCGCGCCTCGAACCATCCATTTTTTGAAGGTGCCTTTTCCTGCCTCTTTTGCGGGCTGGTTGCAGGAGGGAGCTAAATACGCGCCCGAACTGAACTTGAGCCCCACGTGGGCGTGCTGGTAACGGCATCCGGCTTACCCACGTTTCCCCTATTTTTAAAACTTTTCCCACTCACTCCTAAAAAGGAAAGTTTGTTATCGGGTCTGACTACGGGAGACTACGTTTCCGCCGCTTCGACTCCCTTTTCCCTCGCCCTCCACGCCTCGCCAACTCGCCGGGTCAGCGCTGAGCGACACTAAACACAACCCCTTCACCGCTTCTCTTGCCGACCTGGCAGACGTTGACACCAGCGACCCCGCGTTCGATTGGCGCAAGTATGCGAGGCGTTTGCGCAATACGTGGCTTCGGCAGCGGCATTTATGCGTCATTGGGCTCGGGCGGATCGATGAGATGCCTCTCTGGTGCTGTCCGTTTGTCTCCCTTCAGTCGCGTTTTTTCCTCGAATAAACTTGTCTCGTTCTCACAGCTCATTCGCCGACCTCAGCGCTCAGCCGAGCCATCGTTCTTCCGACTTGTTCAGGCCGCGGCCTGCGCGCCATCACGGTCTGTCTTTCGTGTAAGATGTGTTCTCCATTGCTGTTCCCATCGGCGATGGTCGGCAGGCGTCCCCCGCAGGACTTCCTTTCCTCATCTGCTATTTCGAGACGTGTATCCGCCTGGGCCGCCCATTCAACATCGATATCAACATCAACGTGTTAAACTCCCAAGACGCGCCGCTACTTCTGCTACCACGTCCCGTCTCTAGGTCTGCAAGTCCCATCAACCTCTCTACTCCGTCGACTTCAACTGTGACTTCTGCGTCTACGTCAACTTCGAATTCAGTACCTTCAGCATCCGCCTCTGCGCAAACCTTGCGAACCTCCTCCTCACTCTCTGTATCACGCTGAAAAAGACGCCCTAGCCGTAGCCGAGGCCCCTTTATAGCTTTACGGCTAACTACGGACCGAGTACTCGATGACGTCCGATGGGGTCTATTCTATTGGGGCAAGCGCAACCCTCGGGCGGGCGAGGTCAAGTTCGAGCTTAAGCTCAGACCCACCTTCTTGTCTTTCTTGGCATCCATCAATCCATCCCTCTCTAGCTTTCATCTCCACGCTCCGCTGCAACACACTGCCCTGCCCTGCACGCTGTATTTTTCACGTCCTATCACATTATTCTCGATTCATTTAAAACCTTTTCGGCAGTCCATCTCCTTCCGCGCACTGGAATGTCGCCGCGCCAAGCTATTCTGTAATTCTCCTTCGGACGTATCGTGAATAAGAAGAAAGTCTCAATCTGCAGTTGATCGAATCTTGTATATAACACCTCACGCGAAAGCCCTCACTCTATTCCCTTTTTTCTTTATTCCGAAAAGTGACTCCGACCATCTCCCGGATTCGCTCAAGAAGCTACATAGCACATGTATAGATATTTCACCTGCACCGAGAATAAGTCCTGGAGCGGAGTGGCCCGCACCGACGCACCGTGTTCTTGTTGCAAAAGTGCATTACAATTTTTTGTTTCATGGTCTTTCCGATCGTCTACGGCGCGCCGATGGTTGCGAATCGATGAAATAAATACCACCCCAGCGTTCTTGTTGAAATTATTGAAACATTGCGTTGTGCCAGTAGAGCTTCAAACCTTGCACCAGGAAAAAGACCCGGAGCGGAGTGGTCCGCGCCCACAATCCATGGGCTTGCATGACATCAGGAAATGCGGGAAGCCCAGGTTCGACTCCAGGCTGGGTCATATCACAGTCGTGGCCTTTGCCCTACCTTTTCTTTACCTCAAACTTATATTTTGTTCCATTTCCTGGATAATGCTGCTGCTTATTAATATTGATGCGTGGGGAGGGTCGTTGTCGATATGATCTAAAAAATCCCAGCATGCCCTTCTTGGTGAGCCGGTGAGCTCTTGAACCTTGACGTTCCTCCCGACTCGACTGAAAATGGGAATACTCATCGGGATCCCAATTGAACTCAGAACAAGATCCAGAGCGGAGTGGTCCGCACCCACATTCCATGCCCAAGTACATGCGAACAGTACGAGGGTGTCCCTGGTTCGATTCCAGGCTGGGTCATGGAAGGCTGGTAAATTTTAATTTTTGACCTTATTGAATTTATTTTTCTGCTCATATGGGCTGGCTCAAAGACAAAGCCGCAATATATGAATGAGAAATACCAGTGCACCCTTGTCCCCCAGATTGACCATCGAACCGCACGCGTGCCATAACCCGACTCAACCGAAAACGGGACGATATACCCGTCACTTCCATCCATCCGAATCTATCTGCCTCATCTCAAGCAACCTAAAAATGCGGCCTAGAGCGGAGTGGTCCGCACCCACAAATTATGTGGGCGATTTAACGAAACATCTTTACGTGGGCTCCCTGGTTCAACTCCAGGCTGGGTCATATCCATGCCGTTTCGTGACTTTTTCCTCTCTGGTGTGGTTGTCAAGTGCCAGGCCGAAAAACTACCGGCACAGTTTTTGCATCAGATGCTGAAACCTTGAATTTTTCATTCGACTGAGGCGAGAATACCTCCTGACTCAGGTGGACCGGTTCGCCTTGAACTTCCTCGGAATCCCAACTTACCTGAAATAAGACTCTGAGCGGGGTGGTCCGCGCCCACGAATTCCTGGTTCAACCCAAGCCCGTTTATTGCGTCGTGGTGGAAATAGGTCACGCAACCAATCATTCTCTTCGTATTCACACCGTAGGCGCACACTGTGCCGGTGTCCGGTGGAGATGCGGAAGCGCGGGCACCGGTTTGAAGTGGAAGGTGCGTGATCATTTGCGCATGCACTTGCAAAATTAACTGGTCGTATCATCGATTCAGGGAACAGGTGAAATGGCACGAAATCCAGGCGAACACCACTAACCTTTTCTACTTAGTCTCGAGCGAATCCAAGGATATATCGACATCGAGTAGACTCGTGACCAGTCTGCTTACGATGAGCAAAAATAGTGGCGAGCACTTTGCATCTAGACATCGAGCACGAGAAAGCTCCTACAGAAGGAGGACGGCCTCCGGCATATTGGCCCGCGAGTGGAGACCTTCGGGTGGAGAATCTCTCAGGTAGATATTCTCAAGATGGCCCAAAGGTATTACAAGATATTTCGTTCGATGTTAAGTCAGGAGAGCGAATTGGCATAGTCGCTCGCACCGGTTCCAGGAAGGTACTTTCTTCTTTAACCACATCAAGCAGGGACTAATTGGCTGACAAAGCTCCTTGACGCTTTCGCTCTTGCGATGCATCCCCACCGAACGTTCAGTAACGTACAATGGAATCAAGACGTCCGCGTTGAATCTAGATGCGTTGCGCTCGAGCATGACGATCATTCCACAAGTTGTTAGTGTTGTCTTTGCGACTTATCTCTGGGCTGACAATTTTTTTCAAAGCCGGAGCTGCTTAGCGGCTCGTTGCGAGTGAACCTCGATCCGTTCCGCCAGTATGACGATGTTGAGCTCAACTATGCTCTCCGTGCCGCTGGCCTTTTTGTTCTTCAAAATGAAACGGACGGAGACCGAATCACCTTGGACAGTGCCATTTCCGTGGGCGGAGCCAATCTCTCGATCAGACAACGGCAGATATTTGCGCTGGCAAGGTGAACTCATATTATTCATTCGGAAGAAGTGTCTTCAACATATTCCAGAGCGATTGTACGAAAGAGCAAGAGATTGATACTGGATGAAGGTCTTTCTGTCTGTGCACCGTACGCAATGTCTCATTCTGTCGAAACAGCGACGTCTGCCATCGGTGAGCTTCCTTCACCGTGCTCCGCATTGATGCTGATGCTCGTTCAGATTACACCACAGATTCCATCATCCAGAATTCTCTTCGCCACGAATTGGGCGGGGATGTCTCTTTAATCACCGTGGCCCATAGGCTGCCATCAGCCATTCGACAAAAATCTTGCGGTCTTTCGGGCCTTGTGACCTTGTGGCATAGCCACCACACAAGCTCACAAGGTCAAAGTGCAAGAAAATCTGAGCAAAAGCTTTCGAAATATGTAGTAATAAGAGACAAGAGGGCTGTGAGAATTATGAGGAGTCCTCTGAAAAATTATGACAACCGTGTGATGCCTACAAGCTTTTCAACTTTTACAATTAATGCCCCCAGCCAGAGTCGAACGAGTGATCTTGTGAGAATCATCTCTGGCTTTGCGTTCTTGCGATCTTGCAGCACTTTGGCTGTGTCTTGCAGTCTTGTTGGGTCTTGTGAGGTCTTGTACAAGATCACAAGATTCTTGTCAAAAGTCTGATGGCAGACAATCATGGACGCGGAAAAGATTGTAAGTTGCCAATTCCGCTCTTGATCACATTGGCTGATGCATCCCGTTCAGCTCGTCCTCGACGCCGGAGGTATCGTGAGTTTTACTTTGATCGTTCCTACGTTTTGATATATCATCAACCCCTCAACAGCCCAAAAGAGTTGTTGAAAATAAAGGATGGCAAATTGCGTGCATTGGTAGACGAGTCTGGCGACCGAGAAATCTTATACGCCATGGCAGGAGCCAGTTAAATCTCCTCCTTTGGGCTAGCCCAACGAAAGCAGTAGTGGATGTGGTTCTTACAGCTAATTGCGGAACTTAGGGCGCGGATCAATTTATTTCTTCTACTAATCAAAAAATCCGTCCCACCAAATCCTTCATATCTCACGCAATTCTTCACAAAAATGTATGGTTTCATTATCGTTAAAACCGCGCTGTCGAGGCGCACGTTGAAAACTCAGATGTGAATAATGTTCGAGTGAAGCCGAGCATCGGTTGAACAACAATTGTTCCACGAAGCTCTCCAGTATGCAGCACATAGTTTGTTTTTGTTTTTCCTGTGCCAAGACTTGCGGAACTTAAGGCATGGTTCTTTCTTCAATTTGAACCGGTTTTCTAGCTGAGCTCACCCCCGAGGTATATTCATTGACCTTTCCCTTTCCCATTGTATTTCCTATTAATATGCCGAATCAACTGGAAATAAGGCCTAGACCGGAGTGACCGCGGCACGCACGCACCATCCAGGACATCGTAACAGGAATATGCATGTGGTTCCCTGTTCAATTTAAGGCTGGGTTATGAACAAAACACGGTTGGCTTATTTTTATTTCGGCTTCCCGAAGTAGGGCCCGTGAGGCTCTACACATGCAGATTTATAGACCGTCATAAATATAAGGTTGGGTCTGACTACGGGAGCCTACTGTGAGGCGAGCGAATAGTGGCCCAATACATTCAATGAGTGAATACCAGCCAACCTCGATATGACTGGGATCGCAACGAAATTGTAATCAAACTGTCAGGCCAGCCTCCCGTAGTTATGCATGCTGATACAGCCCCGATGCTAGAGAACCAATTTGGATCCTTGATCAGTCGAGAATATGACATGGGGCGGAGCGGTCCGCACCCACGAACTGTTAATTTACTACACTCTAATCGTGTCACGTGGGGTCCCTTGTTCGACTCAAGGCTGGGTCATGGCCAGATTCTTTTCGTATACATTTTTTGCGGGTTTTTGAAGCGCGGTAAAGCTTGCGACCGGAGTGGGCGTCAATACCAAAAATGAAGGGCTAGCATATCGAGTTGTGGAAGCCATTAAAACTCTGAACCTTGAACCTCCCGACACAAACTCGGCGGAAAAGTAGGACACTATATTAAGCACTCATTATGGGCACTAAAATTCCTTCTGCCACTCGCTAACCCGAAATATAGACCCTGGGCGGGGTGGTTCGCCCCCACGAGGCATAGCCCGTCATAAATAGATGTGTGGAGTCTCTTGTTCGATTCAAGGCGGGATCATAACAGCGTACAGGACATTCAAAGGGCCCTCCGGGCGTCCCTGGGACTGTGATAGACATGATGTACACAAGATGTTTAAAAGCTTTTTTGGGAGGCAGGTTGAGCATTGAATTTTCAATTTGAGATAAGTAAACAAACTAAGATTTCCGTCGGCGGCTGTTAGCTTGCGAATACAATAAATAGGCCATCTGCACCGCGGCACTGTGCACCTATCTACGGTTAATGAATCCAAAGATCACCAAGTGAGAGGTCGTGACCCCGAGTTGACCCCGAGTTGAATCACAGTGAATGTGACTACGAGGATCCAGTAAGTGAAACATCAATTACAAAATACATTGCACGCTGATGTGGCAAACTTGCCGCGTGTACAATGTTGGTACAGTTTCAACCTTTCAGCTGGGTGAGAGTTCACGTCAATCATGGTGATAGGGTCAGAAGTGAGATGGGTTGAATCACGGCCGGGAAACGCACCCGCCAGTATTGGTAATATCGGCAATGACCTCCATGCTGAATCAGGGCTTGGTGATCTTCAAGTAGGTTTGCTACGAGGTACGCAAGGCGAATTCAGCACGGAGAACAAATGAGTATAAAAACTGCACAAACCGTAATTCAATCCTATACTTAGGTGCCAACTCGAACTGGGAAAATCCTAACAAACAAAAGTCAGCTCAGTTAACAATGAACTGAAGAAGCATGTACAAGCCCACGAAATTTGGAAGATCAAATAAGTAGATGAGCCAGTCGTGAGGATTGGGATAAGAACCCCAGATGCACTCACAAGGTGCTCACTCGGCTGCAGACTTTGAAGTATTAATAGTTCCTTCACCCTGGTTCTGTGCCGATCCAAACTGTGCGGCGGATCAGTAGCGGATTACCCTGCCCACTATATGGTAACATGAAGTTGAACAGCAGTCCTCGGGCATCTCAGCCAAGTCCCAGCTTTGATTTCAGGCTGCCCATGATTGGACGTATATTGTGTTTCGATTGATATGGGGTGGCGTCTACACCTGTCTGAATCGCCAGTTAAAAAGAATCAGAACAGCATTCAAAGTCGCGACGTTTTTGAATGCATGTGTGGTGACTAATCCCACCAGAACTCAGTGGTTGACAAGTTCTAACCTCTGATGAGTTTTTATCGAGAGGACTCTGCACTAGAAATACCTGTAGATGTTGCATTGGACTCCGGCTCAGTTATCTGTAAATCCGACTTTGAAGTAAGCATCTTCCGATGAAATGAGAATACGACCGGAAACCTTGAGGGACATAGTTGTCTACCAGAAAACTGAGGT